GTGGCTTGGATAGCATACAAAGACTCACACTGCAGGCCACAGACCTCCATGACTAAGTGTGCAGCAACATGTCTGTGTGCCAATAGACTGGACTCACTCTTCTGTCCTAATGTTAGTAGGGAGGGGGGTATATCGGTGTGTGGGCCTTACAGATACTACGAGTACATAATCTGAGGAATAGGGTTGTCACCTCATCTCTTTGAAACCGAACACATAGTAATTATACAGGTTCTGGGGCTGATTAAGGTGGTACTTCACTCTCCCCAGGTTCACACCGCAGCATTTCCGCAGCGTTTTTGTTTTGCAGAAACGCACTACAGTCCATTTAACATGATTTCCTATGGGACACGTTCACATCTCCGTGTTTTCACCCGTTTTGGAAAGGGTCAGAGACTTTTTTTGAATGCAAAAAGTTGCATTTTTGGTTCTAAAGAATTAAATTGAAATGCTGCAAAAAAAGCATGTAGTGCATTTTTTATGTGTTTTTGCAGCGCTTTGCGTTTTAAATCTGCCTAGCAAAAAAAATCAAAACGCAGGTGGAAAAAACGCAATGCAGAAATAGATGAAACGCAGACTGCATAGGTGTGAACCTAGTCTTAGAGCCTGATCTGCGTTTCATTCGCCTCAGAACCTGTGTCATTAATATGTGTTCGGTTTTACAGGGATGAGGTGACAACCCTACTCTGGGGTCACAGGCACCATTTAGAGTTCTGTCAGGGAGCCCCACTGAAAGTGTTGCTGGTGCTTGCACTCAGTTCCGGACCCTGTCACAGGCCGCTACATGGCTCTGTCCGTGTCTGTACTGAGGTTGTGTCCACATTGAATGCTCCTTCCCCACCCACTGCGCCATCACACTGACAGGAGCATGGCTGGGAAATTTCACACGGGGTGGGTGGAGCCTGACGGAGAATTCAGACTGAATTTGAGTTGTTGGGTGGGTGGAGCCTGGTGGGGAACTCTATTACGGTAAGTTAGGACACCACAAATCCCAGGCACAAGGTCGCCATGGCAACTAGAAATTGCGTTCTGGCGCCTGGGTTGACACACTGCCTCCCATAGACTTCAGTGGGAGGTTGCAGCCCCATTGACTTCAGTGGGATGTTGCAGCCCCATTGACTTCAGTGGGAGGTTGCAGTCCCCCGTAGACTTCAGTGGGAGGTTGCAGTCCCCCCCCGTAGACTTCAGTGGGAGGTTGCAGCCCCCCATAGACTTCAGTGGGAGGTCCCGCCCCCCCATAGACTTCAGTGGGAGGTCGCGCCCCCCCCATAGACCAGTGGGAGGTCACGCCCCCCCCCATAGACTTCAGTGGGAGGTCGCGCCCCCCCCATAGACTTCAGCGGGAGGTCACCCCCCCCATAGACTTCAGCGGGAGGTCACCCCCCCCCATAGACTTCAGTGGGAGGTCACGCCCCCCCCATAGACTTCAGTGGGAGGTCACGCCCCCCCCATAGACTTCAGTGGGAGGTTGTGCGCCCCCCCCATAGACTTCAGTGGGAGGTCGCGCCCCCCCCCATAGACTTCAGTGGGAGGTCGCGCCCCCCCCCCCCATAGACTTCAGTGGGAGGTCGCATAGACTTCAGTTGGAGGTCCCCCCCCCCCATAGGCTTCAGTGGGAGGTCACGCCCCCCCCATAGACTTCAGTGGGAGGTTGCGCTCCCCCACCCCCATAGACTTCAGTGGGAGTTTGTGCCCCACCCCATAGACTTCAGTAGGAAAACCCCTGTCAATAGCAATCCTATGTGATATTTATCTCTGCACGCCACTCTATCACTTGTGGGTCTGGAATGCACCGTTACAAACTCGCACACGACCCTTTTCATAATGTCACTCAACACACAATGCATGTGGAACACATCTGTGTGAACCACTTCAATAGGAACACAAAGGGGTTTATTTACTAAAGCTGGAGAGTCCAAAATCAGACTCCCTTTTGCATAGAAACCAATCAGCTTCTAACCTCAGCTTGTTCAATGAAGCTTTGGCAATGAAACCTGGAAGCTGATTGGTTTCTATGCAGAAGTGAGTCTGATTTTGGACTCTCCAGCTTTAGTAAATAAACCCCAAAATGTCTAGCCTGCCATGCAAGTCTGTGAGTTTCAAAACAAACCCATAATCGCTTATGTGTGAACCAAGGTGGCTCCATTCACACTGGATGTTTTGGGATCGCAGCAGAATTGCTGTGAACTCAAAATGCAGGTTCAGTGTCATTATTTTCAATGGCATCTAAAACGAGGTGCGGTTTTGCTGCGATTGTCACATGGCAGATCCATTATTGAATATGCTCATAAGAAACGGAAGGCTGACGGCTGACAGTCGTCCATCATGTCTGCCCTTATTTACCATTTTTGTCTGATAATAGACCAATGTTTAACCTAAATATTGTTACAAATGAAAAACTATAATTGTTACACACATTGTCATTAGGGTTACCTCCTCGTCCCTTTAAAACCAAACACATATTATTTACACAGGTTCTGTGGCTGATTAAGGTGGTAATTAAACTCACCTGGTGCCTTATCTGCATTAAATCAGCCTCAGAACCTGTCATTAACCACTTCCCCACCGGCCGTTGTATATAAACGGCTGGACGGTGGCACTGCAGGGTCGGGTGGCTGTTTATAAACGGCCTCCCCGCACCCTGCTTGTGCGCACTCCCCGGGAGTGCGCAGCACCGCGATCCGGTGCCCGCTGTGTCCTCCGGACACAGTGGAACACCGATCGTCGGACGGGACCTCTGTACGAGGTCCCGATCATGTGATCACTGATTGGCCAATCAGTGATCACATGCAAAGTAGTAAGCAAGATGTCACTTCTGACATCATTGCTTACTACGTGTGAAATCTGTGAATGATCACAGAGTTCACGTGGTACAAGGCTATTCACAAGAGCCTTGTACCATGTGACAAGCTGTGATCAATCTCAGCTCACTCAGTAGTTCTCAATGGCTGCAAGAATGCAGACAGAAAGAGAAATGATTGCTTTTACATCCTATATGGGTGTAAAAGCAATCGGTGTAAAAAAAAAAAAATCTTCATCACCCCCCAAAAGTAGTACATTGTCACCATGGTGACATTGTACTGCTAGGGTGACAGTATGTAAAAAAAAATAATATAAAAATGTAAAAAAAAAATGTTTAAAAATTATAATTTTTGGTTATAAACTAATTTGGCTTATTTTTTTTTTTTTACTAAAAAGATAACGGAATCAATTTTGGCCAAGATTTATGATGAAATATTATTTATTTGCAAAATTTTATAAGAAAAACACTTTTTTTCAAAATTTTTGGACATTTTCATTTACATAGCAAAAAAAAATAAAAATCCCAGCAGTGAATAAATACCACCAAAATAAAGTTTTATCTGTCTCAAAAAAAATGGTAAAAAATTCATATGGGTACAGTGTTGCATGACCGCGCAATTGTCATTCAACGTGTGATAGCGCTGAAAGCTGAAAATTGCCCTGGACAGGAAGGGGGTAAAAGTGTCCGGACAGGAAGTGGTTAATATGTGTTTGGTTTTAAAGGGATGAGGTGGCAACCCTAGTTGTCAGCATGGGATGTTTGGCAACTATATTTCTCCCTAAAGCTTTCCATACATGTTTCAGTTTCTCTTTCAGCGCTTGGTCTGAATGAAAATCAATTCTCCCATACACACTAAGGGTCCTTTCACACAGGTGTTCCGTTTTTTTCATCAGTTCAGTCACGTTTTTTTCCAGTAAAAAAAACGGATCAGTTCACATCCGTTTTTCATCAGTTTAGATCCATTTTTTTTTTTACAGCCTTTACCAATGCAAAAATGTATCGTATGTCCGCTTACATCCGTTTTTCATCCGTTCTGGGGTTTTTTTTTATGGAAGAGAAATAGTTTTCTTCCTTTAAAGAAAAAAAGGATGTAAACGGATGATCATTCGTTTACATCCGATAGTCCATAGAAATACATGGGTGTCCATTTTTCATCCATAAACGGACAGTGTGAAAGAGCCCTAATAATGCTAGCCATACTCAGCTAGACAGCTATACACAAGTGAACAAGAGGAAATCAATAGGTTCCTCCATTGGTGCTAAACAACATGGATGGAGGAATCTCCTCTGCGAGGTTATTGTATTCAGGCAGCTGCATCACCTGCAGCAGTCAATACACAAACAGAGATTGCTATAGATAGGATAGGAAACAGAATAGCCTAGACTCAATCATGTCAGTCTAGATTTCAGTTCATTAACAATATTACACAGAATAGAATGAACATGATTTACTGGTTGAAAAAAAAAAATGAGACTCAGGTTTAGATAATGTAAATGCATTTAATGAAAAGACATTTGTTCACCCAGCTTGTGTCAAATAGGGCTGGTTCATAAAATTCGACCAAGTGTTTCTACACAGCAGTAATATTCTGGGTTCTGGAATGACAATGAATGTCAATGGGTTATGTGAGTCTGTCTACAAAAGTAATGTAGATATTCTATATAATTGCTGTCATATCCCAGAACTGTTCAGATTTCAAAAAGTAATTAAATGAAACGTTTACATAGAAACATCTAAGTGCCAGAAGAATTATATCAAACAGCCATTCAGTTTTTTTTAATCATTGCCACAAAGTAGGTTGATATATTTTTTTTTTTTTTAGTAAAGTTATTTTTACCAAAAAAGACCATTTTTACTAGTGGATCCTGTTTGAAAATTTTGTTGTTTTACTACTTAAAGTAGCCTAATATTTTAACTTTATATGTAAAGTCGATCCAGGGAATATCCGATTGCCTCTCAGGGGATCAGGAAGGATTTTTTTTCTGCTGCAGGAGCAAATTGGATCATGCTTTGCTGGGGGAGGGTTACCTTCCTCTGGGTCAACTGTGGGTATAGGATTAGAATTTTGTTTTGTTTTTTTAATGGTTGAACTGGATGGACTTTTGTCTTTTTTCAGCCAGACTAAGTGTGTAACTATTTAATTGTGGAAAAACTTATTGTAATTCATAAATATATTTGAATGCAGATTTAAAAGCGGTCATGGATGACACTGGGACAAGGAAGAAACATCATAGTAGGAGCCCTCATCCATCTCACCACAAGTCGGTGAAAAAGAAATCTGCATCAAGGCACAGAGGTGACAGCAGCAGTCCTTCACCTACAAGAAGGCGTTCAACCCTCTCCAAATACCATGCTGAGGTTTCAAGGAAAGGTTTGTTACACAGCTACCCTGAGCGGGGTGACGTAAACCTGTACTAGGGATAAAGTACAATATCTGATTAAGATGTGTTAAACGTGTTGTATGGTTTTTCAGAACATTAAAATGCTCTTTCCCCTTTATTTCAGTAGAACGGAAAACGTGGAAAAAGGAAGTTGAGCATATCATCTTCTGCATCCTCCTCCTCACCAGAAAGAAAGAAGAAGAAAAGGAAAGCTGCAAAATCATCATCTTCCCCCTCATCTTCATCATCATCATCTACTTCTTCAGATAGCTCCAGCTCATCATCTTCCTCTTCAGATGAATCTAGTGACAGTTCTAAACACAAGAGACATCACAAAAAGAAAAAGTACAGGAAGGGTAAAAAGAAAAAGAAGCTGAAAAAGAAAAGCAAAAAATCCAAAAAAACGAGCTTGCCTAAAATGAAGGCTCAGGAGGCCAAGAGCAGAACAGAAGAACCCCTTCATGGACCATCTTTAGAGTTGCCTCAGGAGTCTTTGGAAGAAATTGGTCCAGGTGAAATGATTTAGTCTTGTCTTGTGATGTACTTATGTGCACATTGGCATAGTTTAAACACTTCTTTTGAGCTGCAATGACCTGTGCTTAGAAAACACTATTTAGAAGTGAGATTCTGCTGAATCAAGCACAATCAATGGATATTGTTGAAGGACAGAAAACAGTGACATCTTTGAAAGGCTCCAACATGATTGTAGAGGTGCACTACACAATTCAGTTAAGCCATTTGCAGCTGAGAGTAATGCAATACAATATGGGCATTTGTAAGAATGTCTGTGTAAATACATATGTTTATTAATTAGTTTTAGAGAGAATCTGAGAAGTTTGTGTACTGCCATTAACGTGTCACCAGTTCCTGATAAGTCCCCTGTGACATATTTTTTTTTAGACAACATGTATGTCTGAGAAAACCCATTAAATTAAAGTGTGAATTGTAACTTACATTTGGTGGGATTTTTAAGGCAACCTTAAAGTATATATGAACCAAACAATCGTTTAAAAAGATTTGACATTTTATTTGACACATCAACATATATTTCCCCAATAGAATGTAACAATTCTTGACAACATGTTTGCTTGACAATATTTGTAGTTATTGCATTAAATAGTTAGTGGTATCCTTGAGGCTGATTTCCATTTTGCAACTTCAATTTTAGGCATTCAGCCTAAATCCAATGCATTTCGAATACTTTAGTGCAGATTCTTCCTCAGGGAAAGGATACCACTCTAAAAAATAATTGTCAGTAGTTAAACCTTTATACATATTGTTTATAGTCCAAAAATTGAGAAACCAACTTTACAAAATGTATGACTTGCATACCACCAAAATTGGTCAAAACGAGAATGCTTTGCTGTGTTTTGGAGACTCCGTTCCCCCCCACACACACATAGGATGAGGTCATCACTTGACATGCAGGAACCACAGGTGCCATGTTATGAATACTGTAGTAACAAAGCGTATCAATTAATATGATGTCATATATATTAATGTCCTGAGAATATATAACACAAGCCATCAAATCATATCTAGGAAAGTACTTTTCTTTTTATTTTATATAATATCTATAGGGACCAAAAATGTATTAAATGTTCATAATATAGTATATCACATGAACAAATATATGGATTGTAAACAGATATTTAAATTAATTTAATTGTCCCTCCACAATTTAAAGATGTACTCTAATAGTACTACAGATGAATAGTCAATTGAGTATTGAACTATATTAATTAGAAAGTTTCTTATATGCTAGGCATTCAAAATAGTCACTTACATTCTTGAAGTTCACCATGAACCAGGGGCGGACTGACCATTTGGAAACTCGGGCACTGCCCGAGGGCCCAGGTCAGTAGGGGGCCCCATGAGATGCCCCTGGTACCTTTTTTCATAGGCTTTTTTGAGTTTGGGCAAGGACACAGGGGCCCCATGATCCCCTATTGCCCAGGGGCCCCATGAGTTGTCAGTCCGCCCCTGCCATGAACTGGTAGAAGTAAGGTGCTGTAACAGTAGAACATCAAAGGTCTGTTGTTCAGAATTTAACCCACCAAGGGGTCGGGAACAGACGTCGTACATATGGTTCCCCCAGGGACAGAACACAATTTTGAAAGCTGCCTCAAAGTAAAAGTACTTGAAGCTTTATACAGTTCCAACATTAATGCAATGTATGTGTTTCTCCTCCCATAAGCGGATTACATCTGTCCAAGGTAGGATGGCGCCTATAGTGTGGTTCTCGGCATTCAGCACAACTGCGCAGGTGCGATCGCGTCACACACATTGGCATCACATCCGGCTCCAGAAAAATGGTTTCCGGAAATCGGGCAGGCGCCATGTTGGAGACCGCTGCCAACACCGAAAGGAGCGGACCAATATTGGAGCATGAAGGGCAGAAAAAGTTCTACCAAATGCTCCACAGGGCTGCAAGGAAGGGCCCCCCTGCCGCAGATGTGGACCGGGGGACCCTTTCCGTGCCGTACATACCAACAAAGCAAAGCTCAAACCAAAGGGTGAACACAAACTCCAACACAGGAAGCATGTACAATAATTGTTAGCACAACAAAACCATTTGGACAGTATAATGAGCTTTTGTTTTAAAAGAAGAAACCGTTACAATACAGTAATGACATTCACAAAGCAACCCTGAAGCACATATAGAATGTAGAGAAAATCTCCTTTGGTGAGGAGAACAAATTGGATCACTGGTAGAGGCATTCAAGGAGTTGAATCACTAGTAGAAGAACTCAATGAAAACATTTCAATCTGTTTTACCAGAGGTAAAGTCCTCTAAAAATGGTCTGTAGCTTTCAGATTCATTTAAACCAGGATGGGGAGTTGCATCCAAGCATCTAATCCAGCGCATTCTTGTTGGTCTAGTGCTTTATTCCAGTCGCCTCCCCTGGTGGGGATGTGTATTCTATCTAGAGCAGAGAAGAAAACTTTAGACAATTTTATATTTATGAACTTTAGCAAACATGTCTGCCCAAGGGTAGATAGAGATTTCCTATTCTCATAGCATGAATATGTTTGTAAATACGTCTCCAAAATTCTTGACGCATTTTACCTACATAAAAAGATCCACATTCACATGACATAAGATACACTACTCCTTGTGTCTGGCATTTAACAAAACGTTTACAAATGAATTTGTCTCCATTTGGAAGAGTAAAATTTTTCCTATTATCAAGTAAGTAGGGAAAGTGCCAACATATTTGCATGGATCACGTCTCTGAGTACCTTTGTACTCGCTTTGTACAAGAAAATCTTTTAATGATCCTGCCCTTCCAAACAAAAAACGAATGCCCGTGTGAAAGGACCCTTATAGAGGGATTTTCACTGACCAATGATAGGATCTTCTGCCAAAAGTGACCAGTGATTATGTAGTATTTTCAGAAAATAGACAGCAGGGAATACTATCTTGCATGCTGATAGCTTTCACCCAGAGCCATTAAAGAAACCTATATAGTCAATTTTTGCGGATTAAACGAAACTACCTATGATTCTACATTTCAGAATGAGGCTGACAAGCTCACTGAGCGATTGTTAACACGAGGCTATACCAAAAACCTGCCTCAAGAAGGCCTTTAATCGTGTAAAAAAATTGGATAGTAACAACCACCTATTCAATTCTAACACACAAACAGGCTGATGAAGATGAAACTAGGATCATCTTAAAATATTCCAATGAATATATCAAATAAGGAAAATACTACATAATCACTGGTCAGTTTTGGCAGAAGATCCTATCATTGGCAAATTGGTCAGTGAAAATCCCAATATTAGGGTCCTTTCACACGGGCGTTCCATTTTTTTTTCATCAGTTCAGTCACGGATGAGTTTATGTCCGTTTTTTCATCTGTTTTTAGTCATCAGTTGTCAGTGGGGTTCCCCACTGACAGCTGAATGTAAAAAAAAAAAAAAATGCTGGCAATTAACCACTTCAAGTCTGGGCACATTTACCCCCTTCTTGTCCAGGCCAATTTTCAGCTTTCAGTGCTATCACACTTTGAATGACAATTGCGCGGTCATGCAACACTGTACCCATATTAATTTTTTTGCATTATTTTGGTGGTATTTATTCACTGCTGGGATTTTTTTTTTGCTATGTAAATGAAAGTCCAAAAATTTTGAAAAAAGTGTTTTTCTTATAAAATTTTGCAAATAAATAATATTTCATCATAAATCTTGGCCAAAATATATTCCATTATCTTTTTAGTAAAAAAAAAAATAACCCAAATTAGTTTATAACCAAAAATTATTATTTTTAAACATTTTTGTTTGCATTTTTTTATTTTTTTATATTATTATTTGTGTTTTTTTTTTTGTTTTTTACATACTGTCACCCTAGCAGTACAGTGTCACCATGGTGACCAGGGTGGATTTGATTTAAATCAAACTGATTTAAATCACTAGTCAGTAAGGCTTGATTTAAATCCTAGTTTTCTACATAAATACTAATTCTTGCTGGTATAACTTTAATATGCAAGTAGATGAAGATTTTTAGAATAACAACTTTTCATTAGTTTTTTTATCCCCAGTTTAATAGGTTAATCATTCATATTTGGACAACTTTTCTGTTGTACTTAGGAAGGAGAAAAATAATCATTACCTTAATAATAACAATTTAAATAGATTTATTCAACTGAAACAATAACATTCCAGCATATGTTATTTGCTTAAACAAACATCCATGTTTCTTAACTAATTTGGCTAAACAAAATATATATATTTTAAGAAACTTAGACTGTCAGCCCCTTCCTCCTCACACTTAGCTTCACTTTCTTCTTGTGCAGATCTATTCCATTCCAATCAGAGAAATATTGTTTCTATTCTATTCACTGAACTTCTTGAAACTTAGCACTGAAGGGGTTGATTCTGTATTCATAGGTTTGTAGAAGTTAGGATTAAGGTCTTTTTCTTAACTCTGTTCATGTTATAACATTTTTGCTGTGAAGAAGAGGCATGTGATCTCCGCTGAGTCAAATTCAATTTTGAGAACTGCAAAGTAAACCAAGCATCTGTGATAGTATCTTGTAGGCAGAGAAACTGCCCAATAATCTTACAAAAACCTCTGGAAGAGCATGACATTGTGAATGGATTCATGGAATTTATTTACCAAAAAAATTAAACATATACAGCCTTATTCTACATAATTAAAAAACTAATCTTTATTTCATGATGGAATAACCTTTGGATGGTAATATATTTTCCTCAAAAAGCATTTTATTTAAAAAAATCTGATGATTTAAATAAAAAAATCCGATTTTTTTTTTTAATTTTTTTTTTAAAAATGATTGATTTTTATCCACCCTGATGGTGACACTGTACTACTTTTGGGGGGTGATGAAGATTTTTTGTTTTACACCTATAAAGGCTGTAAAAGCAATCATTTATCCTTCTCTCTGGCTGCATTCTTGCAGCCATTGAGAACTACTGTGTGAGCAGTGATTGGTCACATGGTACAAGGCTGTTGTGAATAGCTTTGTACCATGTGACCTCTGTGATCATTCACAGATTTCACACGTAGTAAGCAATGATGTCAGAAGTGACATCTTGCTTACTACTATTCATGTGATCGGGACCTCGCACAATGGTCCCGTACGCCGATCGGTGTTCCACTGTGTCCGGAGGACACAGCGGGCACCAGATTGCGGTGCTGCGCGCTCCCAGGGAGCGCGCACAAGCAGGGTGCGGGGAGGCCATTTATAAACGGCCACCCAACCCTGCACTGCCATCGTCCACCCGTTTATATACAACGGCCATACAGGAGGTGGTTAAAAAATGGCTTTGGGTCCCCCCCTCCATCCATACCAAGCCCTTGGATCTGGTTTGGATTTTTGAGGGGGACTCCCCACACCAAAATTGAAAAAAAAAATGGCGTGGGGTCCCCCCCAAAATCCATGCAGCCTGGCAGGTCAGGAAAGTGGGGGGATGAGCGAGCGCGCCCCCCCTCCTCCTGAACCATGCCAGGCCACATGTCCTCAAGATGGGGGGGTGCCCCATGTTAATGGTGACAAGGGCCTCTTCCCCACAATCCTGGGCTGTGGGGGTCTGCGGGCGGGCGGGTTTATCGGAATCTAAAAAAAAAAAATGTACATGCACTTTAATATGATATCTCAGCATTGATTATTTTATGGCTAACACACTGTAAATGCTTTACAATATTAATATTTATGCTTTAATATCAAGGTTGAATCCTCTCTGTTTCTGTGAGTGTTACGTGTTCGATGGCTCCTAAGAGCTGCAATGAATATAGTGGTTTGTGCTCTGCCTTTCAGTCAGGCTGTTTACCTGATTTGATACCTTTATGATTGGTTGTACAATTGTCCCGTTTTCATTAACAGTGTTGACTGATGAGCAGAAGAGCCGTATTCAGGCAATGAAGCCAATGACGAAGGAGGAGTGGGATGCACGGCAGAGTGTTATCCGAAGAGTCATGGATCCTGAAACCGGGAGAGTGAGGTACAGAGCTTATGTAATTTTCATATGTGTACTGAAGTAGAGGTGACCACCTCAGAGTTGTATGAATTAATGTAGCAGTTTACATGGTGTTTTTCACTGGGTTCAGATTCACCATTTCAATTATTAAAAAAGTGAAAAACGGGGAGTTTTCTTTTTCCAATGACGCTAACCTAGCACACCAAGTCTCATTTCTGTCTCCTGCCTTGTTCCTCTGCTATCTGCCTGAGTTGCTTCTGACAAGTTTTCCTGACACCAAGAGGTAAAAAGGTGACAGGGGAGGGAGCCCCAGCATACAGCGTGTGATTGACAGCCTCAACTCTGTTCCTTTGTGTTGTGTAAAGGGGTTTGTTTCCCTTCCCTCCAATCTAATCTCACTCAGACTATAATTTCAGCTTTCTGAAAGCTCAAAGAGGCTGTATAAATTCGGAGGGCCGCAGATAAACAGGTACAACTTATGTAGGAGGATTTGTTTAATTTCTGTGTATCATAGGGTGGCATAGTCGCTTCACTGGATAAATGCAGGGTTTACATCCACTTTAATATAAGCGTGTGTGTATATATCTCCTCCCAGCTTCCAGTGGAGATTCATCAATTGTAGTTTAAAAACTTGATTCTTCTCTTATAACTGCAGCCTGGGGCTTATGGTCACTTAGGTCTTCCACATGCTTAGTGCCACCACTGGTAGTGCTTGCATAACCCCTCCTTTGATTGCTGACATTTTTCTTGAAGCAAAGGAGCTGGTGATTTCAGATGGAGCTTCTTCTCCCTCCCCCCTCCTTCTTGTAGCACCTAGGTGGTATTCACATAGCAGGGCAGCCTCATGCTGGCACGCTGTTGCATGCAGACAAAAAAATCCTTTTTTCTTTTTTTAATTCTTATTAAAAAAAGAGAGAAAATTGTACATGAAAGATTAGGCTGAAATGATTCACCCAGCTCCTATTATTAGGCTGGAAGGCTGGATATAGATGGGCAGATGGATTATTCATTCTCCCGTTACATGGCGGGATGCTAAAACATGCCACAATGCTCACCCAACAGCAAAAAACATTCTGTTCTTCTTTTTTCCTCCTAAAGGATGTGGACCTCCTTGCAGTAAGATTTTCCAACAAGTGTAATAATGTGCTTTTCTGACTTCTTTTTACATTTGTAAAATGGTTGTGACTGGAATTCTAAGTCTTAGTCCATGGACAAGAAGCTGAATTCAATGCCATATAGTGTGGACGTCTAAAGAAAAAGAACATTTTTCATTCTGTTATTTTTATTCTTTACACTTTAATGTACAAGTTTGACATTTACAATGTAAGAAATTTGTCACAATTTAGCCAGTGGATTGTCGACAAAGATGTTAGTTTTTTAGCGAGGTGTTTGTGCTTATTAAAAACACTGAGCATTCCTCCGACATGGCAGGAAAGTTCAAATGGTGTGTAGCTGTACTGGTCAAGATGCATCACTGAGAATGTGCCTCACACATCAATCTTGGGATGGTATTACAGAGGTTGGTTTTCAGCTAAAGCTTTTCTTGTTCAGAATAACTTGTCCGATTTGATTATTAGCTGAGCTTTACGAAAGCCTGTGTTGGGGTTGGACCATGGCTTAGGGCATCATTGCTGCTGAGGGTGGTATAGAGGTAAACACTCTGTGTTTTGCAAGATCCAGTACATTCTGCAGAGTGTCATTGGATGCTCCATGTGAGCACTACTCCAGCTGGCATCATGGGGAGGCATTGCAGATGAATGCCTTCCCTGACACCTAGCAGAGCTCCAACCAGCAAGGGTACCTGCCATGGAGTGAAGTCCTGTTTGTCTTCTTCCCTTGTCATCTGACCTATCACATGACTACAGACAAGAAGAATTGGAAGTTACAGTTTTCAGTGGAACCCTGTTCTGGTAGGACTGAAAAGTAAGTAGAAGGAAAGGGAGCAGCTCTGCTGGACACAGCCCTCTGCAAGTTCCCTGACAAACCTCATGCAGAGCACCCCCAGTCTCCCACAGCGCCTCCAGGCTTGACTCAGAGCTCTCAGCCCCTTCAGAGCCTTAGCTCCCCACAGTGCTTCCCAGCCAGCTATAATGCCTCCAAGACCACCCCCTTACCAAGCCCCAGCAGAGCTTCTAGCACACCTTAGTACCTCCAATGTTTTGTTCACACATTGACACCAGTGTTTTTTTCCATAAAAATTTTTAATTGAGATTTTTTAAATTACAAAAATTAAAATAGAACAGGAAGAAGATTGACAATGTGGAAGGGCGTGGATTGAAACATGAGTCAAGAAGATACAGAACTGTTCCCAAAATGACACAAGAATGCCTATTAAGCATTTTCAGCAATGTATAGTCCGATATGCACACATTTGACATGCATATTCCATTCCTTATTACTACAGGTAATCTTTCAAGTTCCTGAGTTGGGTTTTCATGAGGTCACGCAGAAAGGAAGGTTGGATGTGTGTAAGGAGTGGTATCCGTGGTTTTACGTAGTCATCCAGAGGTTACAGAGTGTCTAGAAACTTTGTAGTAAATAATATTCTTCTAACCTCCAGGGTGTTGAGGTGCGTGGCAGAAGAAGCCGAGTAGGCAATCATAAGGTCTTGCATCGGTTGCTATTAGCTGGTGTGCAGTGTCTGGCTGACTCCAAGTGGAAAAAACAACCCAAAAAGAGGGTGTGGTTTGGGAAGTGTGAGGGATGTAGGTGGAAAGGGGGTTTGAAGAAAACTCAAAGGTATTAGAAGAGGGGGGAGAGATCGGAAGAGCACTTCACTGTGCTATGGAAATTAGAGTATGGGGGCTTCATCTAGATTTTTCTGCCTACTGACTGTGGAATATTTTTACTTTCCACTGGCTTCGGAGCATTTTTTTTTCTCCTACTTGCCACTGCTTATATGACTTATTACTTGGGTCACAGACATGTGAACTGTGATTGCTGGGTTCTGTACATCAAGCTGCATATCACATAATCTGGAGCACTGCACTGATGGGCACTCTCACCATCTTACACTAACAAGATCTAAGAAGGTGAGACAGTGCCCACAGGGGTCGTTGAAGGTTCTCCCTGGGATACAATTTATAGCAATTTTTCACTGGGGGAAGATTGTATATTTGAAGAATTTTGGGGTTTTACTAAAGGTAAATAGGCTGTGCACTGAAAATGAAGTTGCTCTAGATCTGAGGGGAACATGCAAGGAAAATAAAAAAACAGCATTTTTGCTTACACATGATTGGATGAAAAAAATCATCAGAGCTTCGCCTCGTTTTAGAGGTTCCCCTTGGATCTAAAACAACTACGCTTGTAGTGCACAGTATATTTACCTTTTAATAAATCAACCCCACTGTGTTGTTAGCACTGATTAATGAACACATGATTAAAGTTTTTTATATGAGGTGGCTGATCACGTTTGGATACACAGCACTGTGAAAAAATTGCTCATTTCAACCATATAGTATGTATTTATATTTAGCATAATTTACTTTATTGTGGTAGTTGCCATTTTTGTAGTAGATTCAAGTTAATTTGTTTTATATCAACGCAGCATTTAAAAAATGTTTTCATACATACTGTAAATAGCTGAACACAGTATGTCGACCACTGCTCTCTGTACATTTGCCACTGCACAGTATTCTAATCCAAGTAAAACAGGCAACTCTTCTATGTAGGGTGCAATTGTAGCATCAGGGTGTTGCTTGTGTCCCTGTGTGATTGATTGTGTCCCTGCAGTGCTAATTGCCTGAGTTGATTGAAGCTGTATTAACAAAATTGCAATTGAGTACTGTCCATGATACTTTTTTTATTTAGTACTGCTTGGACCTTCAGGAAGGGGGTATACACTGAAAATGTGGATGTTCGTGCAAAAAAAAAAAAAAAAAAGTATCACAAATAGTACTTGTTTTAGAACTAATTCTAATACTTGTAGACCTGTTTCTGCTTGTGTCAGTACAGTACTGATTGTGTCTCTCTGAACCTTTCTAGTTCTGTTAGTACTGTACTGATGTTGTTTCTGCACATCTGTTTCTGGTTGTGTCAGTACAGTACTGACTGAGTCTGTGAATCTTTTTAGTTGTGTTAGTACTTTACTGATTTGTGTCTCTGTGAATCTTTCTAGTTGTATTAGTACAGTACTGATGTTTACGTTTGTGTCAGTACAGTACTGACTGTGTCTCTGTGAACCTTTCTAGTTGTGTTAGTACAGTACTGATTGTGTCTCTGAGAATCTTTCTAGTTAGTACAGTACTGATGTTTCTGCAGATGTTTCTGGTTGTGTTAGTACAGTACTGATTGTGTCTCTATGAACCTTTCTAGTTGTGTTAGTACAGTACTGATGTTTCTGGTTGTGTCAGTAGAGTACTGATTGTGTCTGTGAATGTTTCTAGTTGTATTAGTACAGTACTGATGTTGTTTCTGCAGAGGTTTCTAGTTGTATTAGTACAGTACTGATGTTGTTTCTGCAGAGGTTTCTAGTTGTATTAGTACAGTACTGATGTTGTTTCTGCAGAGGTTTCTAGTTGTATTAGTACAGTACTGATGTTTCTGCAGATTTCTTTCTGGTTGTCAGTACAGTACTGATTGTGTCTCTGTGAATGATTCTAGTTGTGTTAGTACAGTACTGATGTTGTTTCTGGTTGTGTCAGAACACTGCTGATTGTGTATCTGTGGAGATGGTATTGGCACAGTACTATGTTGTCTCTGCACAGTGCAGACATGTTTGGTTTTGATTGTGTTATTTGGTTTTGATTCAGCCTCTGTAAGTATGCTCACGTTCTTGCTAATATAATATTGTAAGTCTTGGTAAATTCCTTTTGATGATGTATGCTGCTGTCTGTGTTCGTTTACTGAAGTCAGATTGGTGAATTCTGATTGGTTGTTTGAAGTTACTATGATTTGCACTCTGCTCCCTGCTTTACACTACATAGACCCATTACTTATACTGGATTGGGGCTCTTATGGATTTCAAGAGAATTCTACATCAAGCAGCAAAAGAAGGCAAAGCTAACATAACATATCCTTTCCCGCTCCAAAATATTTTTCCAGAGTTTACTCGTACTAATTGGGAGAAGCTGCAGTTAGTCACACAGTACTGACTGACAAGTAGACATGGAAGGTACAGTGTCACTGAGTAATGTGAAGACCACACTTGATGAATATGTGTGTGTGTGACAGGTGTAGATTCTACTCATCAGAAATGACCCACTTTCAGCAGGAAATATCAGACTAATGAAAGTGAGGTAGCACAGGCAGGATCCTAAAATAGAGCAAAACTTGGCAGGCTTGTGGCACATTCTGATCTAAAGGGCAAAGACCAATCAGCCATCCACATTCATTAAATGTGTCCTCTACTCCTCGCTTTCTTCATCCCAGGGTTGCTGTTTTCTCATTAAAAACAGCCTTCTTCCCAGATATAGCATCATGAACACAACATATACACTAAAAATCTGTCATACACTGCACTTCAAAGGCCTGTACCCCAAATATAAGAGGCAGCTGTCATTCAGTGTAGGCAATTACATAATCTGTACTGACGTGAATTTACTTAATAAAAGTCTACAGTGGATATAAAAAGTCTACACACCCCTGTTAAAATGGCAGGTTTCTGTGATGTAAAAAAAATGAGACAAAGATAAATAATTTCAGAACTTTTTCCACCTTTTAATGTGACCTATAAACTGTACAACTCAGTTGAAGTAAACATAAAAAAACGAAAATAATATGGTTGCATAAGTGTATATATAACTGGGGATGTAGCTGTGTTCAGAATTAAGCAGTCACATTAAAAATCATGTTAAATAGGAGTCAGTACACACCTGCCATCATGTAAAGTGTATCTGATTAACCCCAAATAAAGTTCAGCTGTTCTAGTAGGTCTTTCCTGAAATTTTCTTAGTCACATCCTACAGCAAATGCCATGGTCTGCAGAGAGCTTCCAAAGCATCAGAGGGATCTCACTGTCAAAAGGTATCAGTCAGGAGAAGGGTACAAAAGAATTTCCAAGGCATTAGATATACCATGGAACACAGTGAAGACAGTCATCATCAAGTGGAGAAAATATGGAGCAACAGTGGCATTACCAAGAACTGGACATCCCTCCAAAATTGATGAAAAGACAAGAAAAAAACTGGTCTGGGAGGCTGCCAAGAGACCTACAGCAACATTAAATGAGCTGCAGGAATATCTGGCAAGTACTGGCTGTGTGGTACATGTGACAACAATCTCCCACTGGAACTGGGGCCTTAGTCAAGGTAGATTATGAACAGTTCCAAATACCAGTCAATATTGGCACAAAACCTTCAGGCTTCTGCTAGAAAGCTGAACATGAAGAGGAACTTCATCTTTCAGCATGACAACGACCCAAAGCATACATCCAAATCAAGAAAGGAATGCCTTCATCAAAAGAAGATGAAAGTTTTGGAATGGCCCAGCCAGAGCCCAGACCTGAATCCATTCAAAAATCTGTAGGGTGATCTGAAGAGGGCTGTGTACAGGAGATGCCCTCGTAATCTGACAGATTTGGAGTGTTTTTGCAAGGAAGAGTGGGCAAATATTGCCAAGTTAAGATGTGCCATGCTGATAGACTCATACCCAAAAAGACTGAGTGCTGGAATAAAATCAAAAGGTGATTCAACAAAGTATTAGTTTAAGGGTGTGCACACTTATGCAACCATATTATTATTTTTTTTTAATTTTTACTTCCCTCCACCTAAAAGATTTCAGCTTGTTGTACAGTTTATAGGTCACATTAAAAGTGGAAAAAGTTTTATCTTTGTCTCATTTGTTCATCACAGAAACCTGACATTTTAACGGGTGTGTAGACTTTTTATATCCACTGTATATCAAGAATCTGTCATGTACAACACATACAATTAATCTTCACTGTTTTGTGTCCAATTTCAGGCTTATTAAAGGAGATGGTGAAGTATTAGAAGAAATTGTAAGCAGGGACAGACACAGAGAGATCAACAAGGTATGTATATTGGAAATTCTTAGAAAAATTGCACTAGATCTACTTATGTTTAGTGTCTATTTGAGACCTGGACAACATATCAGCAGACGTCTCTTCATCTGATGATTCATGTCAGAGTATACAATATAGGGATCCTTTTTCGTAATGTACTGTACGTGTTGCTTAAAAAAAAAAAAAAAAAAAAGCAGACTGGCTTGTTTCCTTTCCAACTGGCAATGGTATATCATACAGTGGGTATAGAAAAGAATCACCCCCTTTAAAATAATCATGTTCTTGCTTTTTAGCCTGAAATGAAGACAGACACATTTTTTGTTTTATCCAACTGTATTTACCAATAACATCCAAGTAAAGATATAACACCAACATGTCAGAAAAAAAAAAAATAAAACAAATTCAAAAACAGAATCACTATATGGTCCCTGCCAGAATTGCCCAATAGGTACCTGTGGCTTTGCCTAAATGTTTCTAAGGGTGCTGCCAAAAAGGGACAACCTATCATGTCTGGTGGACATGCCATAAGGTTCGTAGGTTCTGGATTCGTACCTACTCCTGTATCAACTCCCTTACAGTGATTATCCTACCAAAGTCCCCAAGACAGGCTGCTGAGGAAGCCCCAACACACGTCCCCAAAACACATGCAATGCCTACTAACCTTCCTCTTTATTGCAGCCATGATAACAATCACCAGGTCCTGGAAATCTCTAGTGATACCTTTCAATCTTTTGAAGAATAAAAATAATCTTGGATAATGATCAATGAGTGCCACTCTGCCATTCTGCAGGATAGGATGGCCAGATTCGATAAGACTTGGGATCCCTGAATCCCCTGAATCTCCTACCTAATGGGGACCACCTCATCAGACCTGAGACCAACATCCTAATGTTACAGGGGAAGCTCGCTGTTCTCTTCTCATCTTTCACCACCCTCTCGCTTCATCCTCTTCTCCCCCTTCTACCTAATGTAGTTTTTCTTTTGACAGCCTGGGGAGGCTCATGGGACCACTGGTCGGCCACCATACGACCTGCTCCTGGCCTGAGAACTATGTTCGTGCACAAGAACACATGCTTACATGCGCAACCTAGGGCAGAGGTGGCCTCCCAATTTGGCCAAGGGTAACCCTTGACTAGCAGTCCTCAGAAGAGGATGCATCAGACGCAAGGGAGACCCAAGCTCTTGGTTCATAACGTCTTCTACTAGTGGTTTTGTAGCAATCTTGTAGGCCAATGTATATGCTAATGCCTTTACTTACTGTTTGAACACAGTTTTGCATTTGTACTGTTTTTTAAACCCTTAATAAAAATGAATGGAAAAGGAAAAATCACTAAGTTGGAAAAAGGATCACCTCGTTGTGTCAGTATTTTGTTGAACCACCATTTGCCTTAATTACAGCCTTTTGTCTGTTGGGATCTGTCTCTACTAACTTTGTACATCTAGATTTTGCAATATATGCCCACTTGTAGAACTGGTCAAGTTCAAGCAGAACTGTTTACAAAAATGTCTTTACATGTCCTTGTTGCTGATTTCCTACCTTCACTGAATATGTCATCCATCTTCTGGTTCACTCCGTAGTTGCTCTGAAATAGCCTATTCATTTTCAAAACAAACCATTCATTTTCTTTGGTTTCCGGTTCGTAAGACTGGTGGCTGCTATGTCTCCTAATTCCCCCAGCCACTGGTCATGGTACATCCCTTCTGTAGTTCTTTCTCTGGGAAGCAGTGATGTAATTCAGTCCCGCTTGCAGTGGTGGGTGGACCGGGACTCTTAGACACATTCAACATGTACAGGCCTAGTGTACCCGCCCACATTCACTACAATTCCCTGTGCTTGATGGGAACTGAAGTGAGAGGAGAGGATATGATGTAATCCCTGCTTTTACACCTCCTCCTTGGCAGAGCAGATGCTGTTATATTTTGAATTACAGAGAATTACAGAGATGAGGTCATGACAATTCAGTTAGACTTTTCTCCTAAGTGGTTAGGATTTTCAACATTTTATTAACTGTTTAGTGTATGTGTATGTGTTGACTGTTGGTTGTGGACTGCAGTCTTCAAATCATTTTACAGATTTTCAATGAGGTTTAAAGGATAAATTCACCTTTTAACAAAAATAATAAATGTACATTTTTTTGCATGTAAAAAAATGTGCTTTTATTATTTTTTGTTGCTGGAGGCTCTAAACAGGCCTCTCTCTGACCTGTCCATGTATCTGATTGCTCATACATCCCCTACAGGCAGGCAGGATACTTACTGAAAAGAAGGCTCAATGAACTACCATGGCACTCCACAGCACCTTGGTAGTTCATTGACAACTATGATCTGACAGCCACAAAGGCTGTTGGAACTTGTAGTGTTCTCATTCACAGAATGTGAATGAGTGACGCGGCTGGAGCCCTGTCCGGCAGTGTCTTTTTACAATTGTGACAGCTAGCGGGGAGGAGAAGGACCCCCACTAGCTGTCACAACGGGGATCGGGGAGTGCATGGGCAAGTCTGATCGTAACATGTTACACCCAGAATATAGGTGTAACATATTACGAAAGGTGAACTTGTCCTTTAAGTCTGGGCTCTGACTAGGCCATGCAAGGACATTCACCTTTTTCTCCTTCAACCACTGTGTGGTCATTTTTGGCGTGTGCTTTGGGTCATTGGCATGTTGGAAGGTAAACCTTCTTCCTATTAACAACTTTCTGGCAGAGAGCAGCAGAATTTGAAGATATTTTGCCCCATTTTTCTTTCTATCCTGACAAGTGCTTCGGTCCCTGCTACAGATAAACCCCCTATAACATGCTTTACTGCAGGAACGGTGTTATTTGGATGGTGAGCTGCTTCATGTTGAGGCCAAATCATTCCATTTTAGTCTCATCTGACCATAACACCTTTTTTTCCCATGTGGATTTACAATCTTCAAGGTGCATTTTGGCAAACTTCAGGCATGACTGCATGTGGCCTTTCTTAAGGAGTGGCTTTTTTCTTGCAACCCCCCCATACAAGCCACATTTGTGCTATTGTTCTCACATGCACACAATGACCACTCCTTGTCATAAAATCCTGCAGCTGCTTCAGAGTTGATGTAGGCCTCGTGGCACTTTCATCCAGGTTGGACCAACATCCTGATCCAGGGAGGTGTGTCTTCTACCAGATGCCTTCCACTTCTTAGACTAATAGTCTTCACTGTGCTTCTAGGCATTGATGCTGCCTTTTTAAAAAAAAAATGTGTTCCCATCTTCTGACTCGTGCCTGTCAACAACTTTATCCCAGAGATCTTTTGATACTGCCTTGCCCCTCATGGCTGATTGTTTGTTTCAGTTGCACTACCAGGGACTGAAATGCTCCAGGAAAGTGCTTTTCATGCTTAGCTAATCAAAATGACCACAGCTGATCACAATTGAAAGTCAAATGGCTTTGTGTCCCATTGCGAAGGTGATTAGCTACACCTGATTGTTACAAGTCTTTTTCCATCACAGTGATTCTGTTTTTGAATTTTTTCCTGACATGTTGGTGTTATATCTTTCACTTAGGTGTTATAGGTTGCAAAGCAAGTGATTATTTAAAAGAGGGTGATTTTTATCTATACTCACTGTATGAAATATATGTGGCCACATCCAGGATTACATATTGAAATTCAGACACATGATTGGTAGTGAAATGCATGAACATCTTTCTTAGAACTGTCAGATCAACTGCTTAACAAATGCCAAAATTACTTTTCTTGCATTTGGTAAGCATTAGGATATGTCTGATAGCCATTCCAAATGTTGGAAAAGTGCTCAGGAGATGGTAGAAAACCTATTGCTTTATAACTGTTTGTTATTTAACCGCCTCCTGCCCGCCATATAAGAAAATGACGGGCACAAGGTGGTTCTCTTGTTCTGGGAGGACATCCTCCCACTCTAACCGCACGTGTGCAGCTCCGGGTGGTGCGCAGTGCGGTGATTGGTGGTGCGCTGTGTCCCTCAGACACAGTGGATCACCGATCAACGGAAAGAGGCAAAGATGTTGGCTCAGTCATGTGATCAGTTGTGTCCAATCACAGCTTATCGCATGTAAATAAGGAAATGCCGGTTATTGGCATTTTTCTCCTCATGAGCGGTCACGCTGACAGCGTGAGAGGAGAGCCAGTAATCAGCATTCCATAGAGGAGACATGTACACTGATCATCAGGGGACCGATGATCAGTGTGCCTTGATGATCAGTTGAGCCCCATCAGTGCCACCTGTCAGTGTCCATCAATGCCACCTGCCAGTGCCCATCAGTGTCACATCAATGCCACATATCCGTGACTACCAGTGCACATCAACGCCACATATCAGTGCCCATCTGAGCTGTCTTTCAGTGCCAGTCTGTCCCACCTATCAATGCCAATCAGTGCCATATATGAGTATTGCCTTTCAGTGCCCATCAGTGATGCCTGTCAATGCCCATCAGTGCCGCCTATCAGTGCCCATCACTGCAGCCTCATTAGCAGACATCAGTGAAGGAGAAAAATCACTTATTTACAAAATTTTATAACAGAAACTATGAAAAAAACTTTTTTTCTAAATTTTCAGTGATTTTTGGTTTGTTTAGCAAAAAATAAAATCCCAGAGGTGATTAAATACCACCAAAAGAAAGCTCTGTCTCAAAAAAATGATAAAAATGTCATATGGGTACAGTGTTGCATGACCACGCAATTGTCATTCAAAGTGTGACAGCGCTGAAAATTGGCCTTGGCAGGAAGGGGGTATAAGTGCCCTGCAGGCAAGTGGTTAAAATGGGGAAAGCTGGAATGAGCACAAGCAGTGATGTGCTGGCTGACAGCCATAAAATACTGCAGGAGGCATCCAGTACCCGTACAAATGAGGCATAGCAAATGCCTGGATGTTTAGTGAGCCATTTCCAAACCTGTCCTCAGGATCCACTTATAGAACATTTATCCAAACGGTAGGACTAGTGTGAGGTTACACATATGGCATTTTTGTTGTGATCTGAAGACAGATTTGAGAAACACTGTCTTTGAGATTAAAGGGGACTTTATATGTAAAAAAAATGGGAATCCAGTAATAGATTAGACATTGCCTGTGAATAATTATATTTATTGTATCTTCTCCTGCAGCAAGCTACAACGAATGACGGGCTGACTTTCCAAATGAGGTCTGGGATAATCTAATGGCTGAGAGAGTATCCATTCTCAGTCTGTGTGGCAATGGCAGGCAGATCTTTGAATTCCACTGATGGACTACAGGGCTTGATCTCACAAATCCATGGTGTTCTGGTGGAAAAGGAAATGTTTTTTTTTTTCTAATGGAAGTTGTCAGGGTTATGTTATACTTTGTATATAAAAATAAACAGACATCAAAAAAACCCCAGTGGATTATTATTTTATATAGGTGTATTGATTAATGATTAAAGTATATTTGGTAGTTTTGAGTGTTCACTTTCTTTTATGGTGGGTTGCATTTTTGAAAGACCCTGTTTGCGCTGCATTCAGATCACCAAAACACATCATGTGAGATTATTTACCAATGAACTATGATGGTGTGAGCAGGCTCCATTAGAAGCTATTATTTCCCTCTATGCCTATTGACTGTATTTAAAATGCATGCATCTAGCATAAATGGCCCTTTACACTTTAGGAATTTAGTTCCTTCAAAGGGAAAATATAATGATTTGTGTCAATTTTACTTTATTTTTTTTAATTAGACTGTTTTTTTTTTTTGGATGAACTGTTCAACCTTGGGCTGAGTTTAAAAAAAAACAAAACAAAACACATTTTCTCTGAAAATGCAACTTCCTGTAGTCCCCTTAATCTCTCATCTAGTGCTCTTTGCTGGCAGGGATGAGCAAAGCTGGCCATGGATAGAATTTCAAACAAAAAGTTTTAGCAAAAATTATACAAAACCGCTCACAAAATCTTTTGAAAGCCAAATAAATGTTCTACATACACTGGTAGAAATTTGGTTGACTGAGAAAAAAATTTCAATCCCGCCCCTTCAAATTTTCTTCTCTGTTTGAGCCTTTAACCTCTTCACGCCGAGTGGCCGCACATTTGCATGCAATTAAAAAAAAACATATGTGCTGAGAGCGTGCGCCCTGCGTGCACGCGTGTCCGATACTCAAGGAAAGGTTCCGATCCCTGTTGTGATTGGGACCTTTTCCAATCATATGACCACCATGGCAGCGAATCACGGCGGTCACATGACCCTAAAACCCTACCCACCTCCCGGTTTCTGAAACCCTTAAAGGGCAAGGAGGCACCGATGCCAAGGGGTTAATGATTAGAAACATGAACAAACTTGCTTAGAACCTTCTTTCCCCATGAATTTCTGTTTGAAATTCTGCCCATCTATGGCCAGGTCTTTATTCCAGGTTTCAACGAATTACTGAAAGAACTAGCCTATTCAGGTGCCTTTTGCTCTGCAGAGTCATATTTAGACATCCTACACAGTTCATGTAACAGTAATTTGAAAACAGCCTATTAGCATTTGTATCTGACTGCATATATATTTCTGTGGTGATTTAAAATTGGGCTTTAAAGTCAGAAGATTATCAAGCCAGCTAGAATTTTCATATGAAATGTTTTTATTTGGCTTTCATGCAGATCCAATAGTTACAGTTCTGTCATTGACCTGGAATAAGTATGCAGATCAGGTGTGACTTTGCATGCTGTATGCTTGTTCCAGGCCAGCGCCTGGATAATATTTCAAGTCAGAGACAGCCAATTGGCTAAAACTTTCAGAAAAGATTCCCCAATAACAGAAAGCATTATTATACAGGTTTTATATGGCACCAACAGTTTGCGCAGCGCTTTACAAAATGAAGGTAGACAATTTGGTACAAGAGGAAACAGGGCCCTGCTCGTTAGAGCTTACAATCTAGGACAGTGGTTCTTAACCTGGGTTTGATCGAACCCCAGGGGTTCGGTGAGTCAGTCTCGGGGGTTCGGCGGAGGTGACCCACACCCGACTCATATGATTTGTGATGACTTGCCCCGCTTGTCCATCATTGGCTGCAGGTGGTCACGCAACATCGCTTAGCCCAGTGGTCGGCAAGCCGCGGCTCTTGTGTGCCGGGCGCCCGCTCCCCTCCCTCCTCTCGGGCGGCAGGGGACTCAAATGCAATGATTGGCCAGTCTCGCTGCCACTCACATCCTGATAGCCAGTGATTGGCTGTCAGGATGTGTGTAGGCGGGGCAGCGTGAGGAACGTGAGAGGAGCTAGGCTCCTCTCACAGTCCGCCCTGAAGACCGGAACGGGCGTGGGGAATACAGCGAGAGGAACGCGCGGAGCAAAGGTAAGTGAATTGACACAGGGGGGACTTGGGGACTTAATATGGGGGATGAATTAATATGGGGAATGAATTACTATAGGGGGGATGAATTACTATATGGGGGATGTATTACTATATGGGGGATGATGAATTAATATGGGGGATGAATTACTATATGGGGGGATGTATTACTATATGGGGGATGAATTACTATATGGGGGGATGAATTACTATATGGGGGATGAATTACTATATGGGGGAATGAATTACTATATGGGGGATGAATTACTATAGGGGGGATGAATTACTATAGGGGGGATGAATTACTATGATGGGGGATGAATTACTATATGGGGGATGAATTACTATATGGGGAAGGAATTACTATGGGGGGGATGAATTACTATATGGGGGATGAATTACTATATGGGGGATGAATTACTATATGGGGGATGAATTTTCATACCGTTTGTTACAACATATCTTTGCGAGCAATCCTTTTCGAGGATGCTGGACATAAAGACGAAGAAAAGGAACAGACTTTGTTGCGAAAATGACATGAGAGTTGCACTTGCCAAGGTAATGCCGCGCATTTCTGAACTGGCCTCTGAAAGGCAACAGCAGAAGTCACACTGATTTGCGGTAAATATTCATTATTTTGTTTTTTGTGTGAAAATCATGGTTTAATGGTTTTGTTCTTTGTTCTTAATGGTTTTGTTCATTTTGTGCACCTATGTATAAATATATACCTATGTTTTGAATTTTAAAAATCATATTTTATTTTTCCAATTAAGAAGGGTTCGGTGAATGCGCATATGAAACTGGTGGGGTTCAGTACCTCCAAAAAGGTTAAGAACCACTGATCTAGGAGGAAGGGTTGAGTGATACAAAAGGTAATAGATGTGGGAGATGAGCTGATGGAGGAAATAAAAGGCAGTTTACTAGTTAGAAGCAGAGTAGGCTTTTTTAAATTTAGAGAACGGTTTTCAGGGATCGTCTAAAGGTGGATAGATTAGGAGACAGTCGGACAGATTGGGATAGGGAGTTTCATAGGATGGGAGAAGGCGACACAAGAACTAGAGCAGAAGGTCTTGGGAGGATTGAAGAGAGCGGTTTGGTTGATATTTTGAGACCAGGTTGGTGATGTCGCTGGGGGCAAAGTTGTGGATGGCTTTGTAAGTTGTATGTTAGTATGTTAAATTTTATTCGTTGGGCGAGTGGAAGCCAGTGGATGGATTGGCTGAGAGGTGTATCAGACACTAAACAGTTGGTAAGAGGGATAAGCCTGGCAGCAGTATTCATGATGGACTGGAGGGGGGATAGCCTATGTAAAGGTAAGCCAATGAGGAGGGAGTTGCAGTAGTCAAGGCAAGAGATAACCAGGGAGTGAACTAAGAGCTTTGTGATATCATTGGTTAAAAAGGGGCGTACTCTGGAGATGTTGCGGAGGTTGAGGCGGCATGATTTTGACAGGAATTGGATGTGAGCTGGAAAGGATAGTTCAGAATCCAGGGTTACCTCTAGCATGCGGGGATGGGTTGAGAGTTGTGCTATTAATCCTGACCGAGAAATCAGTGGAAGAGGCACGTGGGGGGGAGGAAATATTATGAGCTCTGTTTTGGATAGATTGAGTTTTAGGTAGTGGTGTGACATCCAGTCTGTCTGTTAGTAAATCAGTGATATGTGAGGAAACTGATGGGGTGGGTTGAGGAGTAGAGAGAGAGATTTGTGTGTCATCAGCATAGAAGTAGTATTGCAAGCTATCAGCTGACCCAAGGAAGAGGTGTAGATCAAGAATAGGAGAGGTCCAAGGACAGAACCTTGGGGGACCCCGAGAGTAAGAGGAGGATTTACAGTTGTGACACTGAAGGTGCGGTGAGATAGGTAAGATTCTAACCAACAGAGAGTAGTCACAGAGACCAAGTCAGAGTTTTTTTTAAGGAGGAAGGGGGTGGTCAACTGTGTCAAAGGGAGCAGAGAGGTCCAAGACTAAGAGTACAGAATTGTGACCATTAGTTTTAGCAGTTAGCAAGTCATTTGTGAGTTTTAGGAGAGCAGTTTCTGTAGAGTGTTGTGGGTGAAATCCAGACTGAAGGGGATCAAGGTTATTCTCAATAAGGTGGCAGCTTAGCCGGTTGTAAACTAGATATTCAAGGAGGCAAAAGCATATTTTTGACAGGATGGGTCTCTTTTAATCTCAGTCCTATTGTAAAAGCCCAGCCATGGTTTTTTACATAACTAATCTCTGTAATTAAGTCTGCATATGTACTGTATGTACATGTTCATTCTCAGTTTTGGCTAAATGGATTGTGAAAGTATAGATGTTTATAAAGGCATCCCAGAGTAAATAGGATAGCAAAGTCTGCACTCATTTCTAATAAATTTCCAGTTAGCTGGCACAGAGGCATGTAAGTTTTCTCTATTTCTTAGACACTAAGAGGATGAGCTGCTTAAAGTGTTTACAGACGGGTTCTTGCTGCCAAGAAGTGCTTTTGGTTTGTCAGCTGGGAACATTCAGGGTAACTCAGTATTTAAGCAAGACATCAAGTCACGTCCAGTGACACGGATGTTTGGAGGATGTGTACTCTGTCATAAACAATCAGCCTCTCACTCCAGGCTTTCGCCTCTCTACTGTAAAAATCTACAAACTCATGTCTTGGCAAGATGTAGTGGAGTCTGTCAGCACCTCATTGTGGGTGATGCAGCAGGAGGGAGTGCTGTTTATAAAGTGAGTAAAAAAGAAAAATCAAACAATCAAGGATACAAAATAAATCCCTAAGTTTATGACTGTGGAAATGTTGCAAAATTAAAACCATATGTATATAAGATCTCATGGATGAAGGTACTGTAAAGCACGTAGGTTTGCTATAATTATTATAGCCCAACTGTAAGATGTAAGCT